CCAGTTTGTGCCTTGCCATCATCTCGGGAAGGAGGTGTTGCCTTGGGAAGACCTTCAATACTCTTGTCATCACTCGCAAGACGGATAGCGCCGAGGTATTCCTCCTTGTCCTTAGCTGCAGCAACACGAGACGATAACTTGCTCTCGATGTAAGCAGCATAGGCTTTAGCTCCATGAAAAGCAGGCAGAGCGCTCAAGTCGGTATTTGCTGTTCTTTCACTGTTACTAGGGTCACGTGACGAGTCCTGTTTACTCAGCGTAGACCTCGCTCGGGCATCGGCTTCACTCTTCAGCTTGGCGTCCTCAGTTGCATACGCTTTCTTCGAGTGAATAGGTGATGGTAGGATTGCGATCCAGCGTCAATAACAGCGTTGTTGCCCGACATGTGGCCACCTAGGAAATAAGATAAAGCTGTCGGATCTCGTATTTGAATTTGAAGTTTGTAAGGCTATCTGCCAAAAGATTATTTCCCCGCATATTTCTTAAAACTGCGACGTGGTACAAGCCTCGGTGGGAGAGAACCAGTCAAAAAGCCAAGAGCCATACCACCGACTCTCGTGGACTGTCAGTTCGCCTTACGACCGCTTAGAGTGCAAGCTGCTTGACACTGTCTAGGCTTCTACAGTACCACTAACGACGTCAAAGGCGCCGCCCTCCTCACTTCACGTCTGCGAATCGGCGCTACCGTTTGTAGACAGGTGAGGGAAAAAAGAACACATGTCCACCACTTTCGACCTGCTATGCCCAGTGACACACTGCCGATTCCACGTACAGTACGCTCTCAACTTGCTACTTACAGTCGATTTGGGTTCGCCGTGACTGAACAGGAGCTACCTACGGACCATCGTGAAACGGAGCACGAACTAACGGTGGAGAGACTCGACGCGAGTCCTGTCCGTAACGCGGCGACGTGAGGTGAGCACCTTCACGCCCTATGCGATGAAATACACACAAATGCGAGTGAAAAGCACACTAACGCCGTCTATCTGCACTGCCAAAGAGAATACGGTACCATGGCCTTGAAGGATACTTTTCCTGCCATGCAACAACGTCTCCACCGCTGGATTGGCGGCATTTTTCGCGACCAGAGACGGAAATCAGGCAAAACGCTACGTTACTAGCTCGTGCCGAGTAGCGAAGTACCCCACCACATACCATTCACCACCCGAACCGGCCTACTGGGCGCGCTACGGCCACTTTGACGTCATTTTCTACAGTGCAACCGTGCCATGTTGCACAGGCCGAGGAGCGTTAAGGCCTACAATGTCTACAACTGGCCCGCTGCATGACCATGAACGATGGCCTCGATCATTGAATCAGCGGATAGCGGCTCCGTCAAGCCGGCATCACCGTGGATAATCACCGCAGAGAGTGTTGCGAGGCCAGCTGGAACATAATAACCATTATTGTCCATAGTGAAGATGACCCGATTGTGGTATCCACATGCACTCCATGGCATGTGAACGTGGTGATGGTGCGCTGGAGGTGTGCGTAGTTGAAAGGTGGTGTGATGCTTTTACTGTAGAGTATGACTTTGCATGGATGGTCGACCGGATCGACCATGTCGACCATAGCATCAACGATTGTTGACTCGTTGCGAGACTGAAAATGGCCGTTAACACTGCGGGCACGGCCTCCACGTACGATGTGGAGGTCCGCGCAATGTCTACGCCGGCTCAACGCATTGCTAAGTGCATGGAGAGAAGGGGTCGCTGGCTACGTTTGCACTGGATCTGGGGCTTAGTGGTGGGAGATATGGTACGAAAAGATCTGTTCGGCGGTTTTGAGGTCTAATTTGGTGCATATTTTTACTCCTTCGGAGATTTAGCATTTGGAAAATGGCGAAGGGGTGGGAAGTATGTGCAGCTACACGCCGGGCAAGCTGGATCCCGCGGCCCCGGCCAGTGGTGACCCCAGAGCACCGTTTGGGGGTCGATCGAGGGTACTGGCTGCTGTTGTTGAAGCGCATGGGTTCAATGAGCTGGGTGTTTTTCGAGCTGCGAAAAAATCCCGTTGATGCGCATATGTCAGCTTGTTCACGCGGGGCTCCGAATGCGAGAGATAAGTATACACTCGTGA